GTAAAAATATAATTAATCAATTAAATTTTATATTATATTTATATCCAAATAAATTTAAAATTTTTAAAATACATTAAGACCAATTGAACTTAAAAAATATCATGAATTTATGGCTGAGTATTAAAAATGTGAATTTCTAAAATATGCTATGAATTCGTAAAATAATTAAAAATAAAATTAAAATCTCTACAAAATGTTATAAAGGCAGAACCTATAATAACTTAATGATTTATATAGAAGCCATATATTTGAAGAAGAGAATGAGATATAAAATAAGCAAACAAAAGATAATAAAAACATAAATTCATCAAATTTGAATTTGTTCTTACACTCTCATCAACCAATTACCAGTTTACATAAACAAAAAGAAGAAAAGAACTTTCTTCATGAAAATCTAAGTTCATATAAACAAATTTTACAGACTTAAAGATACCAAAAACTAAATAAAGAAGAGGGCTAGAAGAGAAGGGAAGATGAATCAAATGATATTGAAAAGTTCAAGTCATGGTGCCACTGAATTATCAAAGCTCTGAACTTCTGGAACCTCAATGATGCTATCGAGCGCCGGCCGCCACTTCTTCTCCTCCAACCTCTCCCTCACAGTCAATTCCAGAAACAAATCCTGCAGCTTCCTCTCACCCTTCTTCTCTCCCAGTTGCTTCATCAGCCAATCCAGTTCTGCCTTTGTCATTACGATTCTAAACTTCTTAACTACTCTTTCATCTCTTCTCTCTTCCTTCTTTTCTACACAGTAGAAGCAACTGAATCCCTTAATGCAATTGCCCATTTTCTTTGATTGTTACAGAAGGGAATTAAAAGTATGATAGAGAGAAAGGAGAGTAGATAGATGACTTGTGCTTGTTTGGTGACCTAAGAAGAGGAAGGAGAAGGATTTTGGTGAGTTGTGAATATAAGAAAGAGATGGGTGGTGTAGGCCTGCAAGGAGAAATTAATAAAGGAAATTGGTGGAGTAGGGTTTGCCAACTATTAGGAGTGAGTTTGTTATTGTTATATGATTTGATATTTTTATTTTGGACATGTGTTAGTTCTTTGACTTTCAGTTCCAACCACAATAAAATAAGTGTAAAATTTTGAATATGACTGCAGATCATATGGTTGAAATTTTTAAAATTTTTCGGCCTTTAGTTTTTGTTTTTCTTTTTGATGATTGTAGCTCTTTGAGCATTAGTTGGCTGAAAATTCCCTTTAAGGACTTGTAATCTGTTTTTAAATCAACGCGTAGGCCCCTATGTGGGTTTCCCCTAGAAAAAAAAAATGGTTGAAATTTTTGATCAATTTTTTTTTTTGGAAAAAAAGCATGCTTAACTTCATGTTATTGAAGCTAGCGTTAATCAAGGAGCAATTACCACGAAATAGATAGTAATTACAGGAGTGATTTATCTTCGCAAAAGAAAATATAAAAATTCATGTGATTTGACTTGAGACTAATGTTTCGTTTCGAATAGCTTTCATACTGCTTTTTAAATGATTTTTTAGTACAAAAATTTCAAATTCAAGAATTTTTTGTACTGAAAAGCTATTTTAGAAAGCAAGAAGAAAGCTGTCTGATTCTGTTTGAAATAGTTTTCTTACTGTTTCTAGAACAGACTTTTAGTACAAAAATTTCTAGTTCTATAAATTTTTGTACTAAAAAATTGCTCTAGAAAAAAAAAATTTCATAATGATTTTGCTTCTCTCGCTTGAAAATAAGTTTGTTGATAATGGTACCATTAGTCATTTGCGAAAAAAAATTTGCCAAAGTAATGGCATCTTTGGTCATTAACCTTTTGTAAGGTCTAATAATTATATCATTAGTCATTTACAAAATAATTTTTTTTAAAAGAAGAGAAATCATTCTTGAAACTTGAAAGTAAATTTATACATCAAGATGTATTAATCATATTTTAAATTAGATTGTTTGATTTGGAGTGTAAGAGACAAATGATTTTCTTGGTTCATTATGTAAGGGCAACAATGAGCTAGATATGAGAGGAAGTGACAAGTAAGATTTAAAAAAAATGAAGGACTGACTTGAGATTGAAAATAGATGTAAAAGCTGGACATGCTTGGATGTATGCACTAAATGTAATTATATATACTAAATGTTGAATGCCATATAGAAGTTTAAGAGAATCTTTGAGCGGTATGAGGAGATTGACACAAAATTTATAATGAAGTTAAAAAAAGAAGATGATGACATTTTCCTTTGATGCTTGATCTTGCTACTTTGCTATTTTTTGCAAGTTTGATCACATCCTTCATTTTCTCATGCTTCATCCTCTGATGCTGATATATTATTGGCCATATTTTGGGATTGACTAGTAACTGTTTGTTTTTATTTCATTTTGTAACAAACAAGGGATCTTAGATTCCATAGGTTTTATTTTCTTTTTTCTTGTAGCTCCTCGAGCAATTACCGAGTTTTAGATCTCTTTTAAGGACATTCTAATCTTTTTTTTTAGTATTAGCGTGTAAGCCCTTTCTGACAAAAAAAAGGAGATGAGAGTCTCATTTCTTGTTGGGTTCTCTAAATGGTAATTAGAGGAAATGAAAACATTGATTTATCTCTTGGAGAAGTTTTATGAATTGAATTTAGGGATTTTTAGCTCAATATATGTTCTAATAAATACCTTTATCATGAAATTATAAAGATTTTATGCTTGCTTCAATGTTTACAAACATAAATGGATCATAATGAGAGAAATTTGGCCAAAACAATTTAAGTCACAAATTTGATAAATATTAGGGTACTATTGAACATATGAGTTTGATTATTTGTTTTTTAGTTTTATTTATTGCTTTAAGATATGCGGAGTTGCACTTATGACTACACTTAATGATTTTGATGGTACAACTTTGACATAATTGATACGATCAATATGTTATGACACATTTTGATTATATATAATATGAAGATAATTGAGGAGGCTAATCCAGATCAGCATCCAATTGAAGTACAACAGTGTTTGATTGATGAAAGGTGGGAGAATGGATTTGGTGGTGTAAAAATATAAAAGACACAATTTTGGAAAAGCTAACTTGGAAAATAAAATTAATAGTCTTGGAAAGATATATAGTTGTAGAGCTCAAATTCATGAAATAGTGTTGATATTTTTGCATGGTGGAAAGTCAATAGACCAACATTTTCAATCCTTTTGCAAATAACTAGAGATGTTTTGGAGGTTTTAATATCCACTACTGGATCTTAATCAAACTTTAGCATTTGGTTTATATTTTTTAAGCATTGCTAAGTTATTTGAATCCAAATATTGTGCAAGCTCCTATATATGCTTAATTAGATGCATACACAATATATATATATATATACTAATTTATAATTTGTAGAAAATTCCAAATAATAAAGCATGTTAGAGAACTTATTCTTTATTTATTTATATAAATATTTATTCTTTTAAATTTTTTAGAGATTATAAGCAAATCAACTCTTTCTGAGCTATATATAAGCAAGATTGAAGGATGCATGTTTTTGGGTGAAAATCTAAGATAATCACTAATATTATTTCATTTGATTGTCTTTGTAATGTATTTAATTTAATATATACATCAATTTTATTATTTTGCTTTTGAAACATTGAGCAAATTTAATTGTAAACTCACACATACTGCATATGTAGATTTCATGTCCAATACCTCTTAGTTCATAATATAAGCTCTCAACCTACATACTACGGTGGACTACGTTATTATATATTTCTTATATTGCTTCTTTTAGGGTAGGTATTGCTTATTGGCTGTTTTGAGGAATGATTTAAGAAATGATAAGGGAAAGAAATTATGCATAGTTAATGTTAAAAATTTATTTTTGAAAAGCTTTACTTAAGAAAAAATAATATGCATAATGATCTAATTTTGGCTTTCTTATGTACATAGTATGACAAAGTTTAATAATAAATTAATAGATGTTATTAATGCTAAAAGAGATGGAATAATATTATAATAGGTATTCCTTGCAATGATTAATTGTGGAAGGAATATGCCAAGGCAAGAGCTAATTAGATTCTTAAGAGATTTTGGGATGTATATATTGAAAAAATTAAGTCATTTCTTTCTAAGCATTTGTGCAACAATGATAAATATTGAATATATGATATGATTGGGAGACAATACTAACTATATGCAACTTAAAGAAGATATTTCCCCATCAATGTTCAACTCAATGAAATACTTATATAGTAATTTTTTATATGAAGCAAGAGTTGATCATTTTGTTCAATATAGATGAATGTATTTATTTAAAAGGTATGATTTTAAAATAGACCTTTAATTACAAATATTTATATAATTACAAATTTTTAATAGTCTCAGTTACATAACAAGAAAGTTGAAAATTTATGTAAATTTAATGTTCAATATGTTAGACATATTTTTTAGGAATTCTTGGAGGAATCTTAAGAGCTAGCTCTTGAGCTTCATGCGAGAGAGAGGGAGAAGTGAGGAGTTTTCCCCAAACAATACATCTCATAATATCTCTATAAATAGATATTTACATTATTGTGGTAACATGAAGGAATAACCTATACTAAAACTAGACCAATAGCTCACATATTTGATGGAAGAGATGTTCACATTATATTATCAAATATTAAGAAATACTGATTATGATCACAACCTGAAAAATAAAATAATAATAAAATCCCTCTAACTAGACTACTAATCTTCGATATAACAAAAAAAGTACTAAACAATCTATCTCTTCTTAAACTGATCTAACTTAGCCCCATCAATCAATCATGCAACACACAACTCCTCCAAAAGAAAAGCCATGAAAAAAGCTCAACTCAAACTCATCCACGCATATGTGATGACTTTGCTACTTTCTCCCACACCACAACGATGATCTCATGCTCAGTCCCATGCACTTAACGTGTTCCCATAATCCCTTCCATCTTTATCACTCCATATATATAAATATAACCGCTAGCACTTACACTACTCAATAAAACTAAGCAAGGAGAGTACTGAGCAGTTCAACTATTTTAATGGCTCGTTACTTGGTTCTCTTTCTACTACTCTCAGCTGCATGGGAAAGCGTCAATGCCCAGCAGGCGCCTTCATGCAGGTACGTGGCCCAGATGATAAGCCCGTGCATGGCGTATTTAGAGGGCCAGGACATGGTCCCTTACGGGCCTTGCTGCGGTGGGATGGCTGCCTTGAACCGCACAGCACTAACCGGGCCGGATCGGGCCACAGTATGCGGGTGCCTTAAAGGCATTGCCCCTCGCCTACCACTCATCAATCTCACACGTGCCGCAGACCTCCCACGTGCCTGTGGTGTCAGCCTCAACGTTATCATATCCCCCTCTGAGGACTGTAACAGGTAGCGAGCTCATGTGTTGTTTTGTTTTTTTTTTTTATTTTTTTTGTGCTGATATTAGAAAATCATCTGGTTATCTCTCTGTTTATAGTAAAAACACAATCAAATCTCAGCTGCTACAGTAGCTGTGCTTCTACTGTAATAAAAAGAAAATCGGACAATTCTCTCCCATCCGGTGTCCGCACAGAATAATATCTGTTGTTTTTTTTACATGTCTGAGTATTTCATGTGTATGAATTTGTCTGAATTGCCTCAAATATTTCAGGAAAAAAAAAATGGAGCATTATGCTTTAAGATTTGTGAGCATTTTTCAATCTCAAGTTCTTATATTTTTCTGATCTCACTGTGCAGCCTTTCGCCACCTTGAAGGCTTGAATACATGATGGATTGGGCAAGGAAAATAAGTGTTGAAGAAGATTTGATGAAGAAATGCTAATAATACTATTTAGGGTAACTTTGTTTTCAGGGCATGTAATGAGTGAAATAATGGACTTTGTTGTTACATCTGGCTTTCAACTACGCTTGCTTGTTTCTAATGTTTCGTGTGATTCAGCTCTATTAATGCTGTGCTTGTTATGGTGCATGAAGTATATGCTTTCTTCTCATATAAAAATATAAATAGTTTCATTGGCTAAATTTTTTTTTTAGTAATAATAAGCGAGACAAATAAAAGCATATACGACTTATTAAAAAAAATATAAACAAAACCTTGCACGGCCAGTTATTTTATTATGAAATAGCCTCACAAGTATGAGAATATCAAACTTTCCATGACGTAAATTATGGTAAGGTTTTGGACAGCTTTTTTATTGCTTTGTAAAATTATTTTTTAATTAAAAAATCTCATAAAAATAAGAAAAAAGCAGATTTCCAAAGCTGTCCAAACGAAGCCTAAATATGCACTGATCACTTTTTTTTTTGGAACGGGTATCCACCCGCTGCCACCCCTGAAAGGGCGCTTGCAGCTGTGACTAATCCTCGGCTGACCTAGAAGAGACACCCACCCGAGAAACCTCCTGGCCCGCACTTGATTGAGCCCCACTTAACAAGAGTTACAGCTCGAGGGGAATCAAGCACGGGTTGGAGGGTTCTCAACTGTACTCGCCCACCAACCAAACTAAACATCTGCGGGTCACTAAACACTTCTTCTCTAAGCCTTGTTCTAATCCACAATTCAACTTGATTTTTGTTTAACCTTTTAAGTACATAATCCTCACGCATGCAATCTACTAAACATTTGAACTAATTCACTTTTGACAATAATATCTGCAACAACAATGTATTATTTACAAACAGAACATACACCAGAAACATCCATAGAAAATAGAAAAAGGAGAGATGCAACTATGCAAGCAGACAACTTGAAGAAAAAAACACAAAAAAAACAGACTGATAGCTAGTTCTACAGAGGCATTATACCCTGCTATGTTTAAAAGATACTAGAGATGATGAAATGAAACATATACACAACTGCTTAAGCAAGAGAACCTGCTAAACAAATTGCAGTTCATCCCCTTCAAAATTTCTCCTGCTGACTTCATTTACATGGAGGTTTAAAGTTTCGTTTGGAACGGCTTTCATACTGCTTCCTAAAATAACTTTCTAGTATAAAAATTTAAAATTTTTGTACTCGAAAGCTGCTTTAAGAAGCAGTAAAAAAAATGTCTCAAACGAAGCCAAAAACTGGTTGAGAGATGGAGTAAATGGAAAACGCCATTCATCAATTCACCTACGTTTTCTACTGAAAAACATTCCATTCTGCAGACGTTACTTAAATACATTATCTACTACCTATAAGTATCTAAACTGCAGGACTTTCAGAGATGCATAAATGCGCACCTTCACCCATTTCCTGGTTTCAACTTAGCAAGTCAAACACAGGCTTGATGCCCCTCGATGGGCTCTGCTCGATTCTGCACAGCTAAATGCTCTGATACATCTGCAAGGGACTTCAGGTTGCATTTGATCAAGGCCTCAATGAAGAAGCATGTATCGTCCTTCGTATTTCCGTCCGGTACATCAACAACAAATGACTCGATCACTAGAGTGCCTGGTCTTTCATCAATGGTCTCAGGATGAAGAGTTATCACAGATGAATAGTTCTGCAGTAAAAGATGCCAAAAATAAAGTAAGAAATAAGCAATCATTAAGTAGCTTGTAGTGCACTTCTTTGTGCACTGAATATGTTGGAAGAATTTGATTCCCATAGTTAAATCACAGCTTAGATTCTGCTCCAACTAAAGTTCACCACAACAAAAAGTAGATAGTAGCGGTATTATTACATGGTGGTCAGTTAACAAGCTCCATTAATGGCGCTTTTGGTTGCTTGGACGTTAGAAACAATGAATTTACAAGATTTTGTAGTTTGGTTGGATGCAGATAGAAATCAATTGGATTTTCAATTTTACAAAAAATTCACACTAAAAATAGAGAAATTATTCCGTGCGGAGTCTGGACGGGAAGTTCATGTCCAGATTGCGAGTGTACACACTATGTAGAACAGTTTGAACCAAACTGTATGCAAAAATTATACCCAGTATAAACATAGTGTGTACACTCATAGTCCAATTGAGAACTTCTCGTCTGGACTCCGCATGGAATAATTTCTCCTAAAAATGAGTGCAAATCACCAAATTTTAAAACATGCTTACTTTCCACCTATATAAGAAACCAAATGAGCCCCAAAAAAACTCAGCTCCATCAAATCAGCCCCCCCAAAAAAATTATGAAAAAACAAACTAAATCATCATACAAATGGAAATATAGAGCATGAAGGATACAAATACAATATATTGAACTAGTAATCGCATAAAAAAAACTAAGAAGAAGGATTGAATAGCTGAAGTTTGTATTATACCTTAAGCCGATGATCTCCCCCAACAATTTTAATACTCAGGACATGCTCATCATCATCAAGGAACTCCAGCCTCTCTGTACTAGTGGTCGCCGGAAGTCCAGTCTTCACATTCACTTGTCTAACGCTTCCAATCTCCATGTCTCCCTGAACCACACATCTACTCACAAAGGGCTTGTACTTCTGAGGCTGATCAAATCTCCTCACCAAAGACCAAACCTGTAAATTCCCCTCTATAAGTCATGAAATCAAACTTTTTCGCTATAAGAATTAAAGTTATAATCCTCTAATTAACAGTAACCATATCAACTTCAATTTCTTCATTTATATACAGATCAATCGTTTTAAATACAAAAGAGTTCTTCCCAAATCTGTTAAATCAAAAGAACTAAAAGAAGTAGAATCGCAGAAAAAGAAAAGAAGAGATCTTACGAGGTGAATGGGAGCCTTGATGTGTTTGACGAGAGCGGAGCTGCACTGGTTCTCCCTAGGCTCGTGCCTGTGGTATCTCCGGACGAACTCCGTCTCCACTGCCCGGCATCCGGTAAGACTCATGTCGTCAGCCCACCACCCAGCCCCGCCGCCGACCGCCGTAGCTCCGATACTAGCCCTTGCCCTGCTCGCCCCCAACATCGATCGATTGCTTTCCAACTTCTTCACTGATCAATCAGTCGTAAAAAAAAACCAGCTTTTACTTGCTCGATCTCTCTTTCTATTCTCGCCGTCCTTAGTCCTTACTTTCCCAATCCGCCATTAAAAGGAATATAGAAATGGAAAGGATAAATCCGAGCACATCGCACCCAGCTCACTCATCTTGACCTACTCCGCACGACATTTTTTTTATCCGGAATATTGGACCACCAGCCGACCATATTTAATGGCCGCGCATAAATTTATTTTTAATTAAGGATATAAATAATGCGGAACGCAAATAGGCAATGACCTTCTCGTCCGGCCATGGCCAAGAGGTAGGTGCCGTACCCACCGTTCACACATAAAGATATCTGTTTGCATCTTAATTTCGATTAGGTTTTTTCACTTATTAACGATAATGCCATTTCGTAAAAAAGGCGGCAGGTTATGGAATCTGACCTGGTTCTGTTCTATGTACGTGGATGGCGTAATAGTAAATTATTTAGCTTTTCAGGGACAGTTTGTTTGCTATTTCCTGAACTGACAAGTGACAACTGAGCCCGCCGCAGCATTTTGTTATTTTTTATTTTTTTTTATTTTGAGATAATTAAATTAGAAATTTAAATATTATACGTTTGAAATAAAAAAAAATGTAAAGGGCTGTTTGGTTGTTTTTAAAAAAGATATTTGTTGGGGGTTATAATATATGCCACAATACAATTAGAATTTTATATTACAGCTAGAGGTGTCAATTTTCAGTCACGGGTCGGGTTCGGGTCGAACCCGAAACTGACCTGGCACTATTCGGGTTCGGGTCGACCCGACCCGTTTTTGCAAACTAGTCGATTTTCTGGCCCCGACCCCGAGCCGCTTCGGGTTCGGGTCAATCCGACTCGACCCGCGGGATGCAGCGGAAGCGAGAATCGCGACACAGCTGAAGTCGGAGGCAGCTGGATGCACGACGCAGAAGTGGCGTGGGACGCCGGGACTCGCGCGGCTGCGGGACGCGGAACTGACGCTAGAAACTGCCCGGCGGCAGCAATGGGCCGACGGCAGCGCCGCAGCAGGACGCTCGACAGCAGAAGCCGACGACAGCTGGAGTGGGACACACGACGCAGCGGACCAATGCGAACGCGATGCTGAACCTGACGCCAGATGCCTACACTACGAGACGGGGCAAAGTCATTCCGGGTCATTTCGTGTCATTCTCGGGTTCTCGGGTCAACCCAAACCCAACACGCTTCGGGTTCGGGTCAACCCAAACTCAAAAATTTCGGGTCGGGTCTAATATTGACAGCTCTAATTTCAGCGTTGTACGAATGTCCAACACATAAATAAATAAATTTATGTGGAAAATTCTGAAAAGGAGAAAAATCACAGGGGCACATCCAGTTGAAATAATTCTACTATTGTCTAAGTATACTATAGTTGATTGAATTATCCTTGAGGGCGATCAAATTACAATAATCAACTGTTTGGTTGAAATTAAGTGACAAATGGAGGTCAGGTGCAGATCTGTCAACGTTTGGTCGGGCAGAAGTCCAGCATCAGATTGTGGTCAAGCGAAAGTCCGGTGTTAGTTTGTGCTTAGTGTCAGGCGGTGGTCCGACAGAAGTCCAGGCGTCAGTTGGTGGTCCGATGAAGTCCGACATCACGCGGTGGTTCGAAAGAAGTTCTGACGTCAATTAGTGGTTTGGCACATGTCCGGCATCAGACGGTGGTCCGGTAGAAGTCCGAGCATCAGTTGGAAGTCTAGTAGAAGTCCAACGTGAGGTGGTGGTACAACAAAAGTTCGGAAGTCAATTGATCGTCTGATAGAAGTCCGGCGTTAAATGGTGGTCCGACAGAAGTCTGACATTAGACAATGGTCCAATAGAAGTCCATGCATCAGTTCGTGGTCTGGTATAAGTATGACGTTAGGCAGTGTGGTCTTATAGAAGTTTGGGAGTCAGTTGCTTATATGACAGAAGCCCGACGTCAGGCGATGGTCCGGCATAAGTCCAGGCATCAGTTGGTGGTATGGAAGAAGTTCGGGCGTCAGTTGGTGGCTCGACATAAGTCCTACGTCAGGTGGTAGTCCGGTAGAAGTCCGGGTGTCAGTTGGTCATCCAACAGAAGTCCGGTGTCAGGCGGTGGTCTTGTAGAAGTCTGGTATCAGTTCGTGGCCCGGTAGAAGTCTGGGTGTCAGTTGGTGGTCTGGCAAAGTTCGGTGTTAGGTGGTGATCCAGTATCGACGTCAGACGGTGGTCCGAAAGAAGTCTGGGTGTTAGTTGGTGGTCCGATAGAAGTTCTTCATCATGCGGTGGTTCTGTAGAAGTCTGGGCGTCAATTGGTGGTCCGACATAATTTTAACGTCAAGCAGTGGTCCGATAGAAGTCCGGGGCAGGAGGTGGTTAGGCAGAAGTCTGGGCGTTAGGCGATGGTTCGGTAGAAGTCCGGCACCAGGAGTTGGTCCGATAAAAGTCTGGACGTCATGTAGTGGTCTGTCAGAAGTTCGAGTGGTGGTCGAGGAGGAGCTAGGTGGCAAGAGCAATTTCTGATCTCTATCTTGTTTCCTTGCTTAGGGTCCCTATCCCTGAGAAGTGAGGGGTCTATTTATAGATTTTTAGAGTGGCATGACCAATAAATGTGAGGAAGGTCAAAGACAAATTGGGAGTGATTTGAATGGACGACTGATGGTGATTCCCTTGATCGTGGACCATTAATTAGAAGCATGCCATGTTTGGAAACTTTTTGGTAATCCAAATTGTGGTTTGGACATTCCAACAATGCTTCAGGTTTTTGATTTGGACTCATTTCAGCTCAAATTGATTCGAATTTGGTATCGTTGGGTTCGTATTTTTGCGACATTCAATTTGACTATAAGTTTACTGAAATTGGAGTTCGGATGGTCCCAATTTTAATTTTGGAAGTTTTCAACTTGATTTTGCCTTGAGATTCGTGTTAGGTCAAGATAATTTTTTGATAATATATCAATATTAAATTTCAAAAAGAAAAAAAAAATTCAAATTTGATATTCAACTGAAATTTAATTGAGGCTAAACATGTGTCAATATTTTATTAATTATTTATTATAGTGTCATAATAATGATATAAATATATGAAAAGATAAAGAAAAATAATTTATGAAATATGAAAAAATATGTGAAATATTTATTTGATAATTTGAAACTGAAATACTAAAATACTTATGATTAAATTTCTATTTTTTTAGTCATAATCAAGATTCAAATAATGTATTGAAACTCTTATATTTATAATCCTCACTTTGCAATATAATTAATTATTTTATTCCTTTCCTAATTTAATGACATTCATTAATATTTCAATTACATTAATGTAATTTAATAATAACAACTTATTTATTTTTCAATATTTTGATATCCATAGCATATATTCTTCTTGTAATTTTTAAAATTAAAATTGTTTCAAGATATTTTTTACTTTATATTAAATAATAATATTCTAAATGGATGCTAAATAAGCACGTGAAGATGACAAGATGAGTAGGAAATCAGCTTGGCTTATTATTTATTTATTTTTTAAAGTTAAAGTTTGACTAATTGTTAAATAGCATGTTTGATGAAAAAGGCTCCACCAAAATTTTAATGGTTAAATTTGTCATTAAATAAAAATCCAAAATGAAGAGGAGCCATCAAAGGCAGGCCAAATCCTAATGACTTACCTTTAGAGTAATAAAATAAAGTTAAAAAAGTATTGGTTAATAACAATGAAAATATAAAATACAAATACTTATATTTTATAAAAATGCAAGAGAATTTGGCTTCATATGCCCAACAACTAGGGGTGTAAATGAGTCGAGTCGAGTTTTGACACAATCGAGCTCAACTCATCATGCTGAAAGCAAGCACGACTCGTTCCATTGTAAGCGAGTTCGAGCAGCTCGTCCAGCCTCTGTCGTGTTTGATTTGTCTTCCAAAAGCCTCTGATCGTTTTACGCTGTCCTTTCCGGTCTGGTATTTTAAAAAAGTGGTGGGAGGAGAGAGAGAGAGTAAGCCTTTTTTGGGTTTGTTAGATAGTTTATTATAGAGAGAGGTATTGAGCATTTATTATTCAAGGTTTGTGAGAGGAGAGAGAGAGAGAGAGAGAGAGAGAGAGAGAGATGGGCAGACCATTTAGATATGCGCAGGATTTATGAGTTCTTGAAATACACGCCGGTATTTTAAATTTGCAGATGGACTTTAGAACACATTGAGAATTCAAAATATAGGCGGGCATTTATTGTTATTATTATTATTGAAATTATTCTAATTTAATAATTTCAAGCTGGCTCGCGAGCTCACAAGCTGAGCCTGAGCGAGCTCAAACTCGAGCTTGTTTACTAAACGAGCTTGAGCTCGATAAGTTCGGCTCACGAGCCCATAAATAAGTCTACTCAAGCTAGCTCGCGAGCTGACTCGACTCACTTCCCCTACCTACAACGCATGAAGTTAGAGAAATATAACAGATATTTTATTAATTGAGAAACTATATTTGAAATTCATTGTGGACTAAATTATCTTTCTTTTGAATATAAGGAGTGATTATTGAAGTTCGACGTGAATAATTTTGCCTCGAATTTATTTGAATTCCAACTTTGAACAACTTTATTTGAATCATGTTCAAATAAAATTTGAGTAAGGTCCTATATTTTATAAACTTTGAAGAAGGAAGTGGAGAATATAGATAAGATAGCTCACGTAATGGGATAGTCCCCATAAACTTTTGATCCCAAATTTGATATTTTGGGTTTGATGCACCCCAAATAAATGGGTCAAGTGAAGTCTTAATAGCAATCAAAGTCTTTTTTCTTAACAATTCATAAGATCCAATCATGAATTGTAGACTTAGGAGTATCATATCATATGATTTGAGATACCTCATTTGTTCATGAAATACACTCTTATTCCAAAAATTACACTGTAAAAATTTTTAATATAACATTTTCTTTTTTTAAAGGTAATAAAAATATAAAAGATCTTATATTTTATATCCCTAAACTCAATTTATTAGTTCCTAAATTTTTTTTTTTGTAATTTTTTTTATTTATCCACAAAATTATCATAGATATAAATTATGTTACCAAAATTTTTGCTTCACATTTTGAACTTTAGATTTCAATATCAGGCAAGAAGTGTGATAGCTTAAACTCTTAATAATCGAGATATTGTCCGCTTTGAAATAAGGGCCTCACGGTTTTATCATATTGTTGTAACTTCCCAGGAGGTCACCCATCCCAGGATTTCTCTGGGATCAGCACGCTTA